TCTCTCTATCAGTCTGGCTTCAGCTTTCACTCACTCTCTCTCTCCCACTAACTGTTCCACCCCCGTGTTTCTATTTTGCACCAGTCAGCAGTCTCCAAGTCAGGCCTCGGCATCAAACAGCAGCACTAGTCCCTGCCCTGGTTGTCTGTCTGTCTGTCTGCATCAACAGCCACTGCCCTGCATTGATTGAAGACACAAGAAGGATGCTCAGGAAATGAAAGCGTGCGCAACTTTTAGAAAAAATGACTTCAAACTACTGCAACTGTGTGTAAACAAATATTATCCTGCAAGAGTTATAAAAGAATATAAAAGGCAAAGTAAATCATTTAAAGAAAACATGAATTAAAGGTCCCACATTGTGGAAAGTGAGATTTTTTTTTTTTTTATTATTATTTAAAGCAAGTCTCGTTGCTATATGAATACTGTGTTTCAAAAAGCTCGATCCACAGAGAAATGCGTATTCAGAAATGCTTTTTAAACGCGTCGCCAGGACTTCTGTAAGTTTGTGACGTCCCAACTATACGGTCACCAGCAGAACTGATGCTAAACTCTGTGTAGTTGACACTCTGCGAGTACCCGGCTGCAGTTACGCTGTGAAGCTGGCGACAGCGCAGATGCAGAACAGTGGAAACGCTGACCAATCAGACGAGCCTGGGCTATTTGTTTCTCGAGAGGGGGTCTTAAAGAGACAGGCGCTAAAACGGAGCGCGTCAGTCAGAGGGTGAAACCAGGTATAACGCCGTACTTATAGCAGCTATGTGGAAGCTACGTTGTTTGTGCTCACACATTTCACACTTGAACAGCCCTTATTTAAATCATTAGGTCCTAAAAGTTGTTTTTTCCTCCGTTCACGTGAATGAGCCCCGAGACTCTAGTGTGCTTTCCTAACGGGCCCCACAATGCGGAATATCAATAGAAAATCTGGGTATTTTCATCTGAAGTTGAATTGTTTTGCTTTATCGCCACTGAACAACTTTCATAGAAATGAATGGGGCCCCGCCTACTATGGGTATAATGTTTACCATGTTCTTCATCTTAGCTTAGCGTGTTAGCACGCTAACATTTGCTGGTTGGCACTAAACTGTAAGTATGGATTTTGTCATATACCAAAGTATTGGGGAAATAAAAATGTTGACCTGATGATGGCGCTAGTGGAAAAGCCAGGTGGTCACCAAAGTCAGTAGGATTCATCCTCTGGGGACCACGAATGTCTGTACAAATTATCTAGGAAATCCATCAAATATTTGTTGTGCCATTTAAATCAGTGATGGACCGACCCACTCAGACAGAGCTGCAAACATGGCTTAAAATTTAAAAAAGACACAAAGCTGAATCTAGTCAGAGGTGGTTTTTCCTGTAATATGAATGTGTTAAAGAACACATACAGTGTAAATGAACCCCATTAACCTGTACGTCTTTTATGGCTTAATCCTTTCCACACAGAGACTGAACTGTGGAGTCGAGGGCAGCAGACGCCCAATAGACGGGAGTTACTCTGCTGGGAACCGTCTGGGACTCCAACATTACTGAGGAATACAGAGTGCTAACCGTACAACTGGTCATCTGTGCAACTTTCTGTATTGACAGTCAGTGTGTGTGTGTGTGTGTGAACAATGAGTGTCTTCACACAGCCACGCCCGACAGCCATGAACTTAAATTTTGGCCTCGTGTTTTCTTAAAAACAGCACTGACTGTTTATCAAAGCCTCAGGTTTCACTGGTGTGGTTACTGTGTGTGTTTCAGAGGGGAAGTCTTTTGCGTTTGTGGCACAATAGCAGGCAGGTGGCGGTGGCGAGCGTCACCTGGCATACCTATACCAGACACACAGTTGGAGCTCTCTCCTTGAGGTGCCCTAATAAATACTTCACCTTGCTTGCCGCCCTTCTCTCTCTCTCTCTCTCTCTCTCTCTCTCTCTCTCTCTCTCTCTCTCTCTCTCTCTCAACAACACTGCCCTCCCACAATTCCCTTTTGCTGTCACCAACCTCCCACTGGGGCAGAGTGGTAAATAGAAGGGAGATCATGTGTGGTGGGTTGCCAGATGCTGGATGGAAACCCTTCCACCCGCCTCCACCATTCTTGCTTGGGGATCTGGTGAAATTGAACCCTTCTAATCCACTGTGTTGAACGAGGGTTGATAAGAAATGCAGAAAGGACAAAGAGGAGGGTGGTCAACACACACACACACACACACACACACACACACACACACACACACACACACACACACACACACACACACAGCGTTGCCTTTCAAGCACACAAGGGAGATTGCCAACAAGAAAGAGCATCTCCTGTCGCCCAGCAGCTGCTTGCCAGAGCTGTGTGTGTGTGTGTGTGTGTGTTTTTGTGTTGAAACAGTAGTCCACCTGATGCAACAAACGGGCCAGGAGTCATTTGCTGCGTCATCCCTGTGTTTATTTCACTATAAAAACTCAACTACCAGCCTCTCAGTGCAGCGTCCTCCGGCCCAGCTGTGCTTCTTTGGCTGTCGTCCACACTGGAGCACAACAGCTGCCTCCGTTCGCTCAACAGCCTCCTTCCTCTTTTTTTCGTATAGTTCCTCTTCCACTTTTTGTCTCCCTTACCTCCTTCATTATCTGTTGTTCCCGTTTGACATTTCTGCAGCAGGTCAAGTATATGTCAAGGATATTTTTCGGCGGATTCGGCCGAATTAATGATTTGTTTTATCCGGCGGTTTCGGTGGGCAAAGACTGAAGGAATCCCAGCATCCCCCCCGTAAGCTGTGCTTTCACTCCAACCCTCCATTATGGAGCTTCCTCCCCTTCACTCTTGATCTATTAAAGGAATACTTCACCCATAAAATGACCATTTGTATATCAATTACTCAACACGTGTTACCTTTACAGAAAACTTTCTCTCGCATGCCTCCACGACGAAGAAGTATTAATGAAAGGAGGTAAATGGGTCTGCGTTTAACAGCAGCGAAACTATATCGAAACATGCGTTTGCAAAATCTCACACAACTTGTGCAGTGTAATAAAAGTCTAATTTATACAGTCGCATGCTCACTACTTCCCAAACATATGCATCTTCACTGAAACCTTACTATTTAAACCACCGTGGACTGTTTATGCTGAAGATTTTAAATAGTAAGGTTTTAGCAAAGATGCATGTGTGTGTGTGGGAAGTAGTGAGCGTAAGACAGGATGAATGAGACTTGGATTATACTGCCTGAGTTCTGAGAGAGTTTGTAAACGGGCGTTTTGACGTAGTTTTTCTGTTAAATGCAGCAGCCGTTAGGCTTGTGAGATATGACGAGAATATTGGTGTCGCTCGCTGTTTGTGTGCGTGTTCGAGAGAGAGAGGGGAACAGAAGTTGGAAGCCGGTGGACGATTGTACGCAATGTTTCTGTAAGTTATTGATAACAACAATTGGAACGTCAACAATATGAATAAAGTTTACACGGCCGTAGTAATTAACCATGTAACTCCAACAGGAAAGGTGTCCGCTCACGTAAGCAAAATGAATGCAAATACAAAATGTGCCGATTATTTTGTACCAAAAGAAGAACAGATCTCCATTTTAAACCTGTGTGTCGTTCTCATCTGCTCCAGCCGTCTCTCGTCTCCCTCCAACCCCCCCCCCAGGGGACGAGGTTGCATTAGTGTGTATGCGTACATGGAAGGTTCGCACTTGCCAGAAAACAAGGGTGTGTAAACTCGCCTCACACCTGTTGCCCCGGCTGTATCAGATTACCTTCACTCTCCATCCACCCAGCTACCCATGTGTCGTTTACTCTCTCTCGCTCCCTCTCCCTCTCCCTCTCTCCCTCTGCACTGAAAGATACCTACACCCCTGTTACTTAACACTCACGAGCCCTCAGCCAAACTTCACCTGTGTATCCTAGTTACAGGCAGTGTGTGTGTGTGTGTGTCCCCTTGTGTGCATGCCTTCAAGGGAATTTAAAAAAAAAACAACTTTTAGGGCGCTGGCACCCTCCCCATAAAATGTAGCACTTATTAACATTAATATAACCTCAATTTAATTTTCTTTACGGGTAATTAAGTCTACTAATTAACCATTCCCCTTAAACCACACGGACACACATGTCCTGTAAGTGTAGACCCGCATACAGATGCACTTAAAAGGCAAGACAAATGAAGCTTGATTTAATTTGCGCTGGCTGACCTGCTGCTTAAATCCCCACAGCAACCAAAGTTGAGTCCACCAAGAACCACGTATCCTGCTGAGAAGTATTTAAGACAGCGAACGGCCACCTGCACCCTCACCGACAGTCGCTGCTGAAATCTGTGAACCGTAAAACTAGGTTAAACTTGTGCCTTCGAGGCATGCTGTCGTGTGTTCTGTATATTTACATACAGATTTAAGGATCATTTCCTAGCTTCTCTAACCGACTTGTTTGCCTGACTGAGGCCCTCTGTCATGTCCAATTTGTCTTTCCCTTTGACCCACTAGTCTCTGTATGCTCGGGTTGGTCTTCGTAGCCCCCGGTGACCCTGTTGCCCGAGTTTGTGTGGTCGGGGCAAATTCCCGGCAGCTCTGTAATGCTTCAAGAGATTAGCCTGCTCAGCTGAGGCCCGCTGGCATCTGTGTGAGTGTGAGTGTGTGTCTGTGTGGGTGTTGGGCTCAGACGAAACAGAAAAGAGGTCAGTAGTCACAGCAAGGGAGCGAGGTGAACACAGACCATGCAGACAGAAAGGTGGGATGAGCGAGAAACAAACCCTTCTGAAATGGATGTGAACAGAAAGAAGATATTTCACAGGAAAATAGCAGCATTCTATATTTACATTTTTACTCCCCCACTCAGGTGTGGGGATTTGGGAAACATGAACCGCAGCAAGAATAATGTCTGTCGGGGTAAAGGAGCCAAAAAACTCAAATTTAGCAGAAATCATACTAAAAAGATGCAGACGTGTTTCCTTTGAAATAAAAGAGCATTTGATCTCTCCGTCACAGATCTGCTCTCAATTTGGAATTTAGCAGCTGGAATGCAGAGCTGATTTCTGCCTGAACGCCCACTTAAACACAGGCTGACAACAGAATTTGCTTTTATCACCTCACGGCCGTTGCAGGTTTTGCAAACACAGCATGACTGACATGGACACTTCCATGGTACTTTGAACGGTTTGAGGAGTTTCAGACTTGTAACACACTCCTGCCAGCTCTACTAACTGTTATTTTTGCAAATAACAGTCGAATTGTAAAGTAGTCGTTAGTGCGGACATCCCAGCAGCTACTGCTGTGAACTGTACAGCAAAAAACTACAATATCTACAGGTCTTCCTGTTCGGGAAGCTGTAGGAAGCCTATTCTCCTTGTCCTGATTAATGTACAGTATGTTTTGCCAGAGTACACATTTCCTAGATCTCTACAAAAGTAAATAAAATGTATTGACTTGACAATGTTCTTGTTCTGAAAAAAAAGAGCAAGACTGACGAGGACACTTTCACAGCACTTTGGGTGATTTTTGAGGCGTGCCTGCACATATATCATCACCTGTAGTTGTGACCAGTGCTTCGCGACTAAGTCTTTCCTGGGAGACTTGATGGGACAGAAAGTTTCCGATTTCGAGTCGATCTCGTGGGCTGCCACCTGTTGTCTCGGGCCGGATGCTGCAGAGAACCGTCTTGCGCATTGTTCTGAATTGAGTGTCAGTGCAGACAGGTTACTGCATATGTAAAAGGGCTGGGAGACATGTGATGAAGACCATATGGTGCGTGCAGCGGGCGGTCAGAAAGAGGGGTATTGAGGTTTAGGGCCTGGCGTGGCCTAAGCCACTTGGGCCTAACAGGATTAGGAGGCTGGGTTACTGCAGGGCAGACTGCTGGTGGGACACAGAGGCCAGGTTTCCGTTTGAGACAAAGAGACACACTCGGCCTTTACATACATTTTAAAACACGTCTGACTTCAAGGGGTTGCGACCAGTGTGGGAAATCACCACCTGCCAAACACTGGTGGACTTTGGCTGTGTTGGATGCATTTATCCACTCGGCAGTGCCACAACCAGCCACTATAGTTATTTTCTATGCATTTGGTGGCAAAAGGGACTTTGTGCTGGTGCTAGATGTTTTCCCACTGCTTCCAGTCTTCATGCTACGCTAAGCTAACCGTCTCCCGGCTGTATCTTCATATCGAGCGTACAGGTATGGTATCAATCTTCGCATCTAACTCGGTGTCTAAAAAGTGTATTTCCCTGTTGAATTATTCCTATAATGATGTGAAAATATTAAATGTTTCATTCAAAATCAATCCTTAAGGAAGTGATTAAAGTGGTTAATTTTAATCCACCGATAAAAAGCTTCACTAAAAAATAGTGTGATAATTAACTAAAGATATACTATTGTGATATTGCCTCCAAAAAAATCACGGCATGTAATGGTGTTTTGCAATCCTGCTGTGCACACAGACACATGAATACAAACACACCCACACACACACACACACTAAACTCTGGAACACAACACGGTGTCTGAGAGGCCTAAAGTGCATCTAATGAAGTGCATGAATCTCATCTTGTTAAAGAGAGTGCTGATTGCTAAGGAACTGTGGGCTGACACACACACACACACACACACACACGCACACACACACAGGTGGGTGAAGGGTACTCACGTTTAAGGAAGCGGTTACGGACCCATTTATTCTGTTTGCGGGCGTAACGTCTCGTAGCAATCTTCAAAGCTTCTATACCTGGAGAGAGTTAAAAAGGAGGTTGTCATAGATGAAGGGGAGACAGGACAAAATCATTAAATAGATTCTTGTGGTTGAACCAGTCAACCAACCGGTGAATCTAAATCCATCTCTGTGACTTTGATCAAGTATTTGTCTGACCTTTGTCTCGGAGTGCGTCTTTCTCCTGCTGGCTGCTGCTTTCAGGAGCGGTCAGGTAGTCATGAAACTCCTTAAAACCGATCGACTGGAAAACCCCATGTTGGTAGTTCTGACTGGAGGAGACGAGAGGAGAGGAGAGAAGGAAATTAAACTTTATCCGTCAATAAAAAAAAAGTTTTTATCCATCAAGTTTCCGTCTCCAACTTGACATTTCCAGACACACGGTGGTGACTCATTTCACCTTCTCCTCCTCTATCTCTCCTTCCTTCCCTGAACAAAGAATGCAGATGTGAGGTCCTTCGGGGGACAAAGCGACAGGATGACATTAAAAAAAATTGTCACTGGCAGAGTGGCCCTCGGGGGCCTGGACTCAGTAGCCCTATCTCCAAAAAAATTACGTTAAATACAACAAAACTGCATTGAGAATTACATTTCAAACATAACCAAGTAGTTTTTGTTACAACGTTAACCACGTGTTCCAAACTGTGACCGTAGTCTGGGAAGAAATACGTTTCCCCCCAAACGTCATTGAGAGTGCAGTTTAGTTGTATTAGAAGGTGATTTTGTGGGAGACAGGGCTGCAGCAACCTGACCAGAGTGACATCCGGTTGGAGCAGAAGCCAGTCAGACAGTAAAGACAGAATATTTCCGTCCACGTCAGACCACATCTCCCTAATTTGAGGATTGCTGCCTGTTCTTTTTTTGGTTCAATTGGTGTGCATGTTAATTTCAAGGACCTGAACCATTTCTGATTTAGAGTGATTGCAAAAATAGTCGATTATTCTTTCTACTGCTATAAGACAATGTTTTTTGTTCTCTAGTTTTTTCCAACGGTTGAATTGATGGATGACAGATCAAGTCTGCACCTATTTAATGGCACTCAGTGGTGTTTCTTCTGTAGAAACTGGAGGTTGTCTATATATGAGAGCAGGTCCAGATGAATGTAAAGTTGGCCTAGATTACTTTAGTTTTTTATGACAATCTGAAATCTCACTTGGCCATTTCTCATGTGCTTTGAAGAAGATCCTTAACTTCAGTTTGTCAGTCACTCGTAGAACGAGAAGTCCCAGGCTTCATTATCATATCATGGTATCCGATCATCAATATCCTGCACTGCCCAACAAATCCTGGCAAAAACTAACTAATAAGAGTCATTAAGCCACACCGTGTCTCAATATTATACTCGCATCACATCTGTGTTTTTAGCCTGAGGCCTTGGCTGTTTTGGATACTAGTACGTCCTGTTTGCACAACAATCGTAGAATTACTTTGATAGCGAAGAAAAAGTCTGAATCTGATCTTTTTTTTTTCCTTTCTCCCTTTTGATTTCCAAATTGATTTGTAAATGGAGATCACATATCAAGAACAATACAATGGATGCTGCTTGATTATATTCAGAGCCCATTATCTGCTCATATCCCCGTTTGCATCCCTAATAAATACTAAAAGTACAATTAAACTGTAATTTTAGAGAGTGTTCTGCCATGTTCCCGTAGGCCTTAATCAAAAGAATATGTCACAGTTTAAAATGATAATTTAATTGCTTTTACAGTTCTACAATGATCTGCACAGTTAATGATCATTCTTAGTTCATGGGCGTGATGCACGCTTTGGCAGATGAATTGTATTCTGATAATATTCAAGTCATCACACTGAACATGTAAACTGGAAGTCTGTCAACTTTTCTTTGAACCGACTTATAGATTTACTTTCATCACATCTTTTTAAAATTCTTGCCGTCAATTATGCCTCTTCGTAGAAAGCTTTTAATGTTCTCCTAAATAATAAAAGAAAACTACCATTTTTAGTCCGCAACTTACACTTGTAACAGAAACAAGAGGAGGAAATAACAAAAATAAATCTGTCCAGACGGGCAGAGACAGAAATTTGAGAATAGCAACAGAGCACAGGAAATGTGGAGTCAATGGAGGGAGAAAAAAGAGAGACAGAGGAAGGGAGGGAGAGATTTGACCTTGATGTCTGGCCACAGCAGCCAGCAGCAGATGGAGACTAGAGGGTGAAGGAGAGAAAGACAGAACCAGAGGAGGGGAGGGGGGGTAAAGTGCCGGGGTGATCAGATTGCTGAGAGGGCAATAGTGATGATGGAGGAGGAGGAGGAGGAGGAGGAGGGTGCTGGTGCAAGAGGTGGGATGGGGTGATGGGGTGATGAAGGAAAGGAGGGATGAAAGAAGAGAATTGGCAGCTTCCTTGGCTTCATTCCAGCAATGCATCAACTCCCCCACCCCCCCTGCAGCCACACCCCATCACACACACAATATCAATATCTGCTGCTAGGACAGACCCACAGCAGTGTTCAATATCCGTTTTCAGCCGTCAATAAAGCCCACTTACATATTTACATGTTTAATGTCACACACTGAACAATTCTTATTCAAATAGGGCCGCTTCTGCTGCAAGTTTGGTACCGTAGTTGTGTTAAATACCAGTCAAATGCTAAAGGCGGTGCATCGTGGTAATCTCCACGCACATCACCACTCACAGTGCAGGAAATGGTGATTCCAGACCACTGAAAGATCCCAGTGTGCTACTGGTAATGAGGTTACTGTTAGGGAAATGTCAGGGGCAACTTGGCAATTGTGTGAAAGACAAAATATTAACATTATCTCGAAATAGCATCTTGAACGGACAACGCAGTGCCGCGAGTCATTTGTTCCACCGCGACGTCCATTCAGCGAGAGGCTCTGAGGTAATTAGCGCCGATCACCAGACTCCCCTGTTGGTGCTTATGTCCTATGGAGGGTGCTTATCTCTGCAATTATTAATAATCACTGGACATCCTGAAGAAATATCAGTCCCATCTGAACTAAACTCGCTACACTGTTGGCTGATTCTAAATTGGTCTGCAGGCCTTTTGGGAGACGACAGCCAACAGAACAGAGTGACCTGTCAGAGGGGGGGGGAGATAAATAACTGGATAGCTTGTTGACAGAGGTTCCTTTACTCTTATTGCCCCGGTTACAGACTGGATGTCTGGGTCTTTCATTTAGATGGGGACGATGAGAATGTGATCTTGAACTCGTTGCACAGACAGAGTCCTTTTCACGCTCGATAGCAATGACGACAGACAGAGACACGTTTATGGTGGACATGCACCACTTGCTATTTTCTTGGCCGATTACGATTTTCTTTCTACGACCCATCACTGACAGCAGGAATTCAGACTATCCTGAAAAAGTCAGTGTAAACTGTCAAAAACTCAAAATGTTATCCTTTTACTTTGTTATCATCATCTATAGTGGTTATTTAAACAAAAACACACAATTCAAATGATGAGGAAATAAATGATTGTGAGCACACGTTATTTTTAGCTTTCGGTCTAAGGACCTTCATCAGATGAAGCTATACAAGGTCTGATGAAGGTCCCTTAGACCAAAGCTAAAGAGGTCTGATGAAGGTCCCTTAGACCCAAAGCTAAAGAGGTCTGATGAAGGTCCTTTAGACCCAAAGCTAAAGAGGTCTGATGAAGGTCCTTTAGACCCAAAGCTAAAGCGTTCTCTGCATAGATGTAAGTGTGCGGGTATTTATTCTACCAGTTTGAGCTTATTTGATACTTCCAGCACCTTTTTTAAGATAAAGCCGGGTCAAGCGGTGGTTATCCTGCATAACTGCTTGAATTTAAAAAAAGTTTTAATTATGTATTATAGCCTTAGAGCTAATATTAGGAAGTTAAACGGGTCATAATTCCCTCTCTAATACCTCTTTTATATTCCTGTGAAAACATCTCCTTCAAACAGCTGTATTTAATCAAGTTTCTCACCAAGATTACATTTGAACACATCATAATAACGTTATATTTCACCTTTGCCTAATACAGATTTCTTTTTCTGAATAGAGCTTCATAATAAAGTCAACATAACCTCCGTTGACGTTAGCCGTTAGCTTCGTTATAAGCAGGACCGTGTGGGAAGAGACTGTGATCGACAGACGAGTCAGTCGCTGCGATTACTCCGAGCGTCACGCAAGCTAATGAATTACAATACATTGAGGGTCTGATTAAGTTAGCCGTTATACCAACGACGTAATATGTAAACATTTAGATTGCACTTAAACCCAGCCGTGGTCATTTTCACATGGTAGTTGGTCAGATAGTTTGGCCTTTTACACCTTTTCTTCTTCTACTCTCACAATGAGGGACCGGAGCATAAAGTGGGGGGCCACTGGGCCCTGACACCCCCTAGAAAAATACATCTGGCTACTTGGTGTGCAGATCTTTCTGTTTTAATTCTGCTAGATATCTGATATTTGATCCAGCATCCATCGGACACTGGATTTGACAGCACCTAAAGATAATATCTCACAATCGGGTTGATTGTGTTCCTTCAGGGTTGTGGACATGTTTTCACTGCAGATTTGTTACCTGTCGTCCTGGACTTTCTGCTGATTGTAGCGGACATGGAAGTCTCTGAGCTCCTCTACGAGTCCAGCAGACAACATCTCATCGACTCGAGCATCCAGCCGCTTGTCTAGAGCTGCAGGGGAACAGGGAGGAAGAAAGAAAACACCAGCAAAATGAGACAGACACACGTGAAAAGTTAGGTCAAGCTGCACTCAAGCTCCCGTAGCAACGTTGAGATTTCTGTTGTTTTGGTAAACAGCAGCAACAGTAACAGGGAAATCACCGTCCATGTCGGCGTGCAGCCAGAAGATGCAGGGGTCTGGGTATCTCAGCGGCCCCCCCAGACCATCGCCTCCCTCCTGCCCCCTCTGCTCCTCCAGCCAGCGGCTGTGAGAGACGCCCGTCTCCTCGTGGATCTGAAGACTCCTATGGACAACAAACACGCGAGCAGAGACCTGAAATAAAACACCGTGTGGAAACAACCGAACAAACACAAATTCCTCTGATCTCCAGTAAACTACGAGTTTACATCCCAGTGCGTCGGGCCTCGATGGGTAAACTGAGATTAGTTAAGTTAAACGTCCACTCATCCATTAAATCCAGTGTAAATGAAAAGTCTAGTTTGACAGTAGTCTCAATGATTAACACAGCAGCAGCAATAAATTCAAAAGGCAAGACGGGGGTATGAAACGCAGATCAAAAACAACCGGGAGTATAAATCACACCGTTGACATTCAGCGAGGGCTAAAATAACTTTCGAGACGTTAAGATTAAAATCAAGAACCGTCAGCCAGGCCTCGCTGCACTCGGAGGTTATGAAGAAAAGATGATTCCTGTCGTCACCTGTCATCCAGAAGAACAGGGTAACCTAACCTGCTCGCACAACAGACCAGAGTGCACTGGCTGCTACTCATCAAGTGTGTGTGTGTGTGTGTGTGTGTGTGTAAACAGGCTCTCGACATGTCGGTGTGGACTGGGTGGAGGCCATATACTGTGGCTGTCAGCCTGAGACAGAGCCCCTCGAATAAAACATGAGGAAACTCAACAATATCTTGAGCTACTCCTATAAACACACAGCCTGGCTTCCACAAACACTATTCTATCCCAGTGGCAGAAAGAGCATTTTCCACAGAACTATGTTTCCAATGTCACTGAGACAAAGTCAGATAGTTTCAATTTAAAGGAACAGCTCTCTCATAAACACTATGAATTGTATTTGGTATATAAGAAGAGGACGTAGTCACCGTGACATCACACATTGGTTTGTGGTTTTTGGAGCTCGAGTTCGGCATTTCGGCCGTCGCCATCTTGGTTCTTTGCAACCAGACGAGAGTACAAACCGAACTCTGACTGAGACATTCTTATTTCATGTGGCTAACTTCTCCTACCCATGCTCGTGTTGTTTTTAGTATAGAAGTTAGTTTACCCGCTGTATCACCTGGCTATCTTGCGTTTGTCATTGGGGTGCAACATGGCTGCCATTTTGGGGTCGACCTCCGCCAGTCGTTTGTGTAACTCGGCTCCTCCCAGTTTCTCCAGCTCCAACTTCCTGTTTGCAGCCTCATCTCCTCCGTCCACTGGCTCCTCGATCTCCTGCTGCAGCGAAACACATTATATTTAGCCTCACTTTTTTTAAAAGAAAGACGAAAAGCGGCCGACGTCATTAACGTTTTTTCTCTCATTGTGGTCACTTTTGCTGCTCTGTTTGATCAGGGCCTTATACGTGTACCGTCACATCCTTAAAGGGCCAGTGTGTAGCACATAGGAGGATCTATTTGCATCTATTGGGTTTTTCTTTACCTTAAATTTGAGCCGTTTAAATATCTACATAGGGAGCAGGTCCTCTTCACGGAGCCGGCCGCCATGTTTCTACAGTAGCCCAGAATGGACAAATCAAAACACGGCTCTAGAGAGGGCCACCGTAGATCTCCTACACACACAGTTTCAGTTGATTTCAATCTGCAACCTGACCGCTAGATGCCACCAAATCCTGAACACTGGCCCTTTAAGGTATTCAAATGTTTTTTAATACAACATTACAAAGCACCTTCAGTGGGTGAAGAAAAATGAGAAATGAAAACATGAATGTGATAAACAGTGTCAGAGAGACGTGAGAGAATGAAGAGAGGTGTATTTGAGTTGGACTCACCGCTGTGTTCAGCAGGACTCTCCACAGCAGAGACTCAATGTAATAGTTTGTTCCTCCAACAACGACCGGCAGTTTGTTTCTGCTGTGCATGTCATCAATGTTTGGAGGGCGTTAAGGAGGAAACTGATCTGGGCACATGTCATGTACACGGATCCCACGGTGGTTTCACCTGTCGCTAACTCCAGTAGTCTTACATGAATGCACCACAATTAAAACCCACTTTGAAATGAGCTGCTCTATGCTGAATTGCATACAACTCCTCGAGCTATCAATGGTAACTGTACATTTTCGACTGCTTGTAAAAGGTATGTTAGAATCCTAATGAGACAGAAAATTGAGTCCTAATTTTCCGACCCTATTTCAGGCATCAAACCTAAAACACATTCAAAAAACAACAACATTGACATTTGAGACGAGAGAACCGGAAGTGCAGTCCGGCTTTTGGACTCGTTCCTGCGGCTCTCTATGAAGAACACTGCAGCAGCAGTATTAAGATTAGTGCATTGACACTTCTTCTTCTTATCAGTATTTACAGTAGCTGAGTGCAGCGTGGCTGATATGACGATACACTCTTAAAGGAGGCCGTCGGACCAATACATTGAGTCAATTACAGCTTAATCAATTAGGTGAGTCATTGGTAAATTGACTTACAAAATAGCTCTATTGCTCTTTAGCTATTTTGATATTTGATTATTAAAGTGATTTTTGGCTCAGATGTCTTTGAGTTGAGAACTTTCTTTTTGAGAAACTATCCTATATTTCACAAAAAAAAAGCAAAGACTTTGTGATACTATACTTTATGAATACAACTTTGACTTCACTTGACTGGGGAAAAGGAGAAAAACAAAGAATATAAAATTGTGTTTGTTGTCCTCTCTGAACTCATGTACCCTCATCCTAGCATCTTATTTAACTACTGATATACCTATAAAGGCTTCAATTGGGTGCTTATGAATAATTTGGTATTTAAAAAGCACTAATTAAAAAAGAAACAAAACAATTATATGAAGTGAGGCTCAAATTGAGTGATTACAGTCTTGAAACATTGTAGTGATTCAATAAAGCACCAGTAAGAGATGACTAAGAGATGACTCGGCTGGTAGGATGATTATTAACGAAGGGTTAATCATCTCATGACCCCTCTGATCTATCTGAGGCGGGAAAATCACCGTCTCACGACAGTAAACTGAATAGATTTGGGTTTAGAACTTTTGTCCGGACAAAGACGTCAACATGGGCGACTGGAAGGTTTTGGTGTTCATTTTTCATAAAACAATAATTAATAATTGATGATTAATTAGTAATGAAAATAATCATTAGTTGATACTCAGAAAATCCATACCAGCAAAGAGTTTGGTTCACCTCCTAAATCAACACAGAACTACCAATAATGTAATTTGAAAAGACCTTCCTGCTCACACACACACACACACACACACACACACACAGACAGCCGGCCACACCTTAGTTCCCTTACTCTCCCCTTTTCTGTCGCATCTGCTCTCATCCTGCACCTTTCCTTCTCCGTCCTCCTTCCTCGCCCACCTCCTCCACTCAGAGATAATCAAATAACCCCTCAAACAAGGTAAACGCTCATCAGCCATCATCACTCACCTCCTCTCTCTCTCTCTCTCTCTACACACACACACACACAGAGAGAGGGCTGCATCACTGTGCTTGCAGAGGCAACGGAGCAGGAGATAGAGAGATAGAGAGAGAGAGGATGATCACTGACAAGCGGCGAGGAAAATCCGAGGGAGGGAAAACAGAAAGAGGGCTGCAAGATTGAGAGCAATAAAGCAGGAACAGAGGAGGGGGTTAGATGGAGGGAGTTTATGTGAATGGCATGTTGAGTCAAGGATTGATAGCTGATGATGCGTCATTAGGTCCTGCGTCTTTGAACTCCTCAAGCTTGTCAGCCTTCTCCAACTACCCCCCCCCCACCACCTTCCTCTTCTCCCCATCCATCGTCTCTCTTTCCTGCTCTACAGTTTAAAAATCCTCCACGTCACGTCTCTTTCCCACTAATCTGTATTCATCTCTTTCCATTGCTCCCTCTTCCCACCAGCGAGCTCGCGCTGCACTGAGCCTATTCTTGGAGCTACCGCAGCCCCTCACCGCACTGGTGAGCGTGTGTGTGTGTGTGTGTGTGTGTGTGTGTGTGTCTTCCTAGATCTATTAATACCGCCTCTAGTTATTGCCTCCTCTCTCCACATCTGTGTGACGGCCGGTGTGTGCGGCAGGGTGTGACTGCCCAAAGTGTGTGTGTTCCTATACAAATATCCTCTCTCTCTCCCTCTTCTCATTTTCAGAGCAACATCTGCAGCGAGACACGCCAACAAAACGAGGACATTGCAGATCGCGCGCACACACACACACACACACACACACACACACACACACCCCACCCCCCTCTGGACCAATTAGTGAAAGTCAAATTGACTGAATTCCACTTAATAATGTGGGAGGGGAGACGCGACAGGGGGAGAGGTGCTACAGGAAATCATGCATTTCAATATTGCATTTCACATGTTTCCAGGCAAAGGATATTAGAGCCAGGGCTTTGTTCCTGAAGTCCACCACCGTGTAGCTGCTGACCAACGGGTCCACAAAGCTGATCATGTGATGTCTGCACTGGGTGCGCTCCTCAGCCGTCACCTTATTGGTGATGATGTCGAGGCCCTGGTACACCTGAAGGGGATGAGAAAAAAGAACCACAAAAACACGATGAAGTGAATGAGAATCATGGAAAATCAATGCTTTTATATGCAGGTTTCATTTCTATCACGTAGGAATATAGACGGATGAGCAAACGATATTACTTGTAACCGCATTCACATGAAATTCTCAATATTAATGCACTCTTAGGATGTTTTTTCGTCCTCGAAAGCATGAATCCCTGGCTAACACTGAAAAATAAATAGAGTCCATAAAACAAATTGGGCAGGAGATTGAAATCCCTGCCAGCAGTAGGGTGTGTGTGTGTGTGTGTGTTCATCAATGTCAGAAGCTGGTTGTTATGGAGGAAGGAATGAGGAGCGTTGTTTGTCGTCCGTATGAAATGGCTCCGACCGTCACACCTCCTCTGTCCATTTTTATCATCACCCAGAGAGGAGGGCTCCCTCGTGGAATTGAACAGCTAGGTGTCGTATACAGTAATCCGTCAAAATTCACACACACACACACACTTTTAAAGTATGTCTCCAGGTACAGAGAACTTTCTTACTCTTTTTCTGTCCTTCAAAAGTATTGTTTTTACTACTCCATATAAGGGCCATTGTAGGTTAGGAAAATAATAAATACAAAGACAGGGGGAAGAAAATGTCTGCGATTAAAGACTTAAATTAAGAGGAAGAAAACGTGGATATTCTCTTAGATTTACGTGGCAAATTTACAAGAAAATTTTTTTTTCCCGAGAATATAAAGTCATAAATTTATGAGAAAAAGGCGAGTGGAGTGTAAAACCGTGGTAATGCTAGCACGTTTTCTTTGATTAACATAAATAAAAGACACAGGAGGAGATGTATGGCAGTGTCAGTCCAACTGTCAACGGATGTGTTCAAAACACTTTGATGTAATCATGCAGGTGCAACAATATTCTGACTGCTAAGACACAAAACTTATTTGTATTGATTTTGCAGTTTTACGACACCAATAATCAGGATGTAGATGGCAAAATATCAACATCTCCAGTGACCCCGCCCTCTGCACAGCATCTGTGTGTAGTGTGTGTGTGGCTCATAAAGTGGTGAATCAGCCTGAAGTTGCCAGGAAAACTTTATGAGTCAAAAACTTCACAAACAATTTGACCAGCGGGCTGAAACCTCTGGTTGGATTCAGTCTTGAATTGAGTATAAGCGTAGTGAAGCGGTCTATTGTTCAGAGTAGGAAAATACAGCCTTTGATTATAAGCAGTCGCCTTTTGGGTTTGAAGAACAGCTCCAAATGAACACACAAGTGTTATTTTTTTCACAGCTTGAAAGAATGAAGTCAGTCTCGACTGTAACTCATGATTTCCCTTCGTGAAAATTTCTCCCACAGCGACAAGGACGCCACGGACGGACCCAGTTCTGAACCGGAGCAAAGCTTAGCCTCACTGACCCGCCCGGGAGCCAACATTAACACCACGCTGCTGGAGAACCAGGCCCCAATGATGCTGGGCCCACTGGAGGGAAGGGAGGCACGGGAGAACCAGAACCAGGACTGAGCCGGGCAGACCTCTGCAGTAAGTTGAGAGGTTTTGTAAAGGGACGCTCTGTCCACAGGGACAGCATTAAAGTTCCTCTTAGCAGCTTTAATATTAGGACTAATTAGCAGTGTTTTCAATCAACCCATGGAGCCAACAGTAGCTAATTAGACTAACATTAATTAACTACAACTGATTTAATCTGCCAGCAACAGTTGCAGTTTTTGCCAGCAAAATGGACAGCTGCTGCTAAAGTGGAGAGAGCTGCTACAGCCTATCTCTGTCTGAGAAGACGTAAAATTACTAAGAATTCAATCGGTAATTTTGCCATCTTTATCACTGTAAACTGCATATTTGGATGTTTGTGTTTTTATAATTTATCAGCTGTTTAAGTTTTAAGTTATTCATTTGGGCCAGACAGTGGCAATACACAAGTTAGTGTGAAATGTCTTTTCTAAACATATTTGAGTGTAATTTCCTTTCCTGTCAGCTGTGCTGTGTTCACACTACAAGCAACAAAAGCAACAAAGCTACATTGTCGGAGAGTTGCCATTTAAGTGTTGCCCAAGCACTTCTTGGCGTAATCATGTTGTTACATAGCACGGAGAACCGGCTAAGAGAATGCTGAAAGATGGAGCTGGACAGGGTGAAACAAAAACATATGATTGGTTCACGCGTCACCGCGTCATTAGAGCGCAGGAAAAAAAGTTAGTGTCGCCCGTAGTGTGAAAACACAGCACGAGGCAGAACGTGCGTAATCGTGAAGAAGATGAAGTATTGTATTCTGCAAGGTGTGCCCACATCCTCCTAACTTTGTTACCGAGCATCTTCCAGTCGTCTAAATCGTATATGTCACTGTTTAACCCAACGTGCATGCAATGGGGGATCACTACAGCAGTGCGGGTTATTGATCAGACCCTTGGTGAAAGTGTGTGCGGGTGGGTTGCGTGTACTTCGCCAGTAAGGGAGGGCAGAACAACCCAGCCGGATAAATTATTCACGACGCCTCTGCACGACACCACTGTCAGCCATGGGAGGGGGGGAGGGGGGGGGGGGGGGGGGGG